CAGTATCAATTATATAACAATGCTGGAGAAGAACCTTCAGTTAAATTAGATACTCAAATACTACGAAATTCAAAAAGTATATGGATTGTATATGATTCGAAGTCCTTTCAATTACTTGATTAACTCACAGATAGTCTGTTTTGGACAAGCTAGATATTTTTTCCAGATATAGTTCCCTGACCAATCTTATGAAGGGTAGACGAGTAGGTTGTCATTAAGCAATGTAAAAATTAAATAGATTAATAAAAGGAATTACGTTACGCTTCTTATACATCAATCCAGAGACGTATATATTACATTACGTAATATATACGTCTTTGATCATCCGAAAGCAAAATACTAAATGACATGAAAACTTGATTCGACTCCCAGAGATACTGTATACACATATATTTTATTCAACTCGTTGGCCATCTCAAGTAAATGTGATCTTTATAGATACATGGTAGATACCGTGATGTTGCAATATTATCTAACAAAGTTTATACCAAAACAACGTCAAATTATGATTACAAAATTACGTATGTCAGCTCACAATCTTGCAATAGAAACGGGAAGATACATGAATGTTGCAAGGAATAATAGACATTGCAGTAACTGTGACCTAATAGAGATAGAAGATGAATTTCATTTTCTATTTACCTGCCCACGTCATTTAGATCTAAGGAGAAAATATTTTAAAAATTAGTACCGGCAAAAACCATCTGTATTCAAACCTATCGAATTAGTAAATACACACAATGTAAAAGAACTGAATTTGTGAGGTAAATTTATTATTGAAGCTAACAAACGAAGGATTGTTTAACTTATAAGTTTGTTTTACGTAATTTTGTATTACTCAATCGTATCATGTCCATGTTTTGTTCGAACAATCTTTCATGTTTAAGATGGTAAATGCTCAACGGTTTTGTTGTTGTTGTTGAATTGATATTTTGATGATGATGATGATGATGATGATGATGATGATGATATGATGATGATGATGATGATGATGATGAAAGTGGTAATGATTTCAATAATATCGGTGATTTGTATTAAAAATGTACCAGTTTTATGAAATTCATGTAATTATGTCATGTTGTACTTTGACGATGATGATGATGATGGTGATGAGGATGATGATGTAGTATTTGATGTTGATTTAAAGAGATGATTATTTCATGATGATGAGTTATAAGACGACGACGACGGCCACTACGATGATGATGATAATGATGAAAGCGATGATCTATGATTTCGATGATGTTCATGTTGCTACTGATTTGTGATGAATGTGCCAGTAATATGTAATTATAAGTTGTTCTTATATGAAATTATATTTTGAAAATCCTATAAGTTGTAAAACTTACGGAAATAAACTGAATTGAATTGAAATATACTTTTAATAACCCTGCGTTTGTGACACTAATTAGGATATAACAGAAATCTGTTATCTGGAGTACGGCTCCATTCTGGACTCGGGCAAATCTCGACTCTGTGCCCCCGGGCACTTAACAATCCAAGTTCCTGAAGGTACACTAATGAGGTGTATACAGGCACGGAATTAGATTGTTATCTAAGTCCGTGATACAGGTACCGAATCTAAATCACAGTTACAGGTAAATATATATATTATAATTTAATTTTATAATTTCTTCCGAGGAATTACAGATTCCACTTGCAAACCACTTATATAATATGTACAGAAGACGTAGCAGTCTATGTGATTAGTTATAATTTCAAACAGTGTCTTGTAAGCCATTTTAGGCTGAAGATCATATACAATTACATTTTCTATTTAATGCATTTGTTAAATATGATACCAGGTGTCAATCAGAAACATTTTTTTATGAAAATAATCTTCCGTTACATTACATTAAGATGATTGATCCCTGTTATGTAACTATATGTGTTTATACTGTGTACCTATATAGTGATATATGACACTATAATAAACAAAATTGACTTGACTTGACTTGACTTGACTTGACTATATATATATATATATATATATATATTGGTTATGCAATGACGACGAAAACGGAGATAAATTTTGAATAGAATTGGCAAATAGAGGATTTTCCCCAAAATTACTTATGGTCAACTAAATTAGAACAAATGTTTAAATAATTTTATTATGCAATGAACGTTATAAACGTATTGACGTACATGAACATCCTACGGATTTTTTTTTAGTTATAACAACTATCGATATAATATGTATAAATATAGATTTGTTCCAATATATACTAAAGGTACATGGTTGTGAAAAGTAAATCTACTTTTACTAAATACTCGTCGAATTTATTTAAACAAATTTAAGTCTTTAAAAACATGAAGTTATATGAATGCATAACCACAGACTTTATCCAATTGCGTGTACAATATCTAATTTTAAACATAAACTTAGTCCCGTGCAATTGAATAGATTCTTGATATATGAAATCCATTTAAAATCAGCGAAATCATTTTTTATGTAAATTCAGCATAAGCTTGTACATTATACTAGACAATTTATTTTCACTTGTAATTAGTTTATACCAAAACATTATCATTCTAGATTTAATTTCAATATTCAGAGAGTACCTACCCGTTTCACCATATACCATTATATTTGCTGTGGAGCTACGTATGTTTAAAATTCTTTTACAAAACTGTACATGTAATTTCTCAATCATATTGGTATTTTCAAACCCCAAAATTTCTGAGGAGTACAAAAGGATTGGGGTATTAATACCTCAAACAATTTTAATTGTAGGTCAATTGGTAAAATAATATTTCTTATTTTTTTTATATAATGCATACATTGCTTTTTGAGCCTGTTCAACAAGTTTTTTTCTTGCTTTACAGAAACTGCCATTATAATGAAACAGCAGTCCTAGAAACGAGTAGCTGTCATGTGTTTGCAACTCTTCACCAAAAAGAGTAAAACGAATATTTTGTGCAATTACTTTTTTCAAAGATAACAACCCTAGTTTTATTGAGATTAACTTTAAGTTTCCAAATAGTACAGTAAGTTTCAAATTCACGGAAAGCATTCTGTAGACCTTTAACTGTTTCTGACATAACAACTGTGTCATCTGCATATAGCAGAATAAATAATTTAACAAATATACCCATGCGTTCTTGAAATAAATTATCAATATACTGGAGTTGGTCAACATTACTTTGCATGAAAAATTCTTCTTAATCATTGAAATATGTTGAGAACAAAAATGGGGAGAGATTTTCACCTTGTTTTACCCTGACGTGACATGTGAAAAAATTAATTAGATTTAGTGTTTGCATACAGATTTATAATAGCATTAAATATCTTTCCTGTGATATTATTCTTTAATAATTTCTTCCATAAACCTACCCTCCAAACAGTTTCAAACGCTTTTCTGAAATCAATGAATGAACAGAATAGCTTTTTACTTTTTGAAACGTATATAGATATTAAAGCATGAAGGATAAATATATTTTCAGTTGTAGAGTAGCCTTTCCTAAAACCAGCTTGAACATTGGAACAAGAAGTTCCTGTAATTGCAATTCTTTTATCAAATATACCTTATACCAGATAAGAATAATTAAATATATATAAATAAGTCCGATCCTGCCCCGTTTCTGTCCGTTCCTGTAAATCGTCGACCGTTCTGTTTTACCCAGTTTTACTAAAGGTCGTAAGTCCACACGTAAACGTAGACGTAAACTTAGACTACAGTCAATGG